ACCGTGTTGGCAGAGGCTGGGGCTCTCCAGAATGCAGCAGCAGTGATGGCAGGGCTGGGGCAGGCAGCAGCAGTGTTGGCAGAGGGCTGGGCTCTCCAGGATGCAGCAGCAGTGTTGGCAGAGGGCTGGGCTCTCCAGGATGCTGCAGCAGTGCTGGCAAGGCCTGGGGCTCTCCAGGATGCAGCAGCAGTGTGGGCAGGGCTGGGGCAGGCAGCAGCAATGTTGGCAAGGGCTGGGGCTCTCCAGGATGCAGTTGCAATGCTGGCAGGGGCTGGAGGCAAATAAGATGCAGGCTGAGGCGGGCATGCAAGAACAGGAGTTGAGGGAGGGAGGTAAGTGCCCAACCATCTGCATGCTCTGACATTGCGCCGCGCCGACGGGCCTTGCATTTGCATGCCCCCTTGCTCCACCTCCTTGCAGTGTTGCATGATTACATCATGCGCGGCGCTGGAGGCTGATGCCTGTAAAGTTTGACCACATAGCAGCGATTCGGTTGGAGGTTGCCGCCGCTCCCGCCCCTCCTGCCGCCGCTCCTGCCGCCGCTCCCGCCCCTCCTGCCGCCGCTCCTGCCGCCGCTCCAGCCGCCGCTCTCGCCGCTCCTGCTCCTGCTGCCGCCCCTCCAGCCGCCGCCGCTGCGGGGCCTGCTGCTGCGGGCGATGCCTCTGGCCAGGCGATGCCTTGCCGCTCCAGCTCTGCGCGCCGCGCTGCCGCCGCCGCGGCGCGCTCCTCGCTGCTCCCGCTGCCCTTGGCGCGGAAGGCCTCATCTGCCGTCTTGGCCTTGCTCCACTTGCGCGACACCTGCTGCCGTTGCTGTTCGGTTAAGCGCTCGTTGAACGCCTTGTACCACTTGCACTGCAGGCTGTGCACGGTGGTCAACTGCACAGGCCAGTCGAGGTAGTAACGGCAGCCGCGGCAAAGGTTTGGGCCTTTGCGGGCAGCACGGCCTTGGCTACGCCCAGCATGCCCCTGCCCGCGACCGCCGCGCCCAGCAATGCCGCTTGACCGCTGCTGCTGCTGCTCCACCAAGGCCGGCGCGGGGCTGAGCACGATGGGGCCAGAAGCAACGGCGGTGGCACCGCCTGGGGTACCGCCGACAGCTGCCGCCGTTGCCGCCGCCTCCGCAGCTGCCGCCGTTGCCGCCGCTGCCGCCGCCTCCGCAGCTGCCGCTGTTGGCGCCGCTGCCGCTGCATCCGCGGCAGCCAGCGTAGCCGCGGCGGCGGCGGCTGGCGCGTTGGGGTCCTGCGCAGCGGCTGCTGCGAAGCGCTGCTGCTGGGCCTCGTAGAACTCCTTGAGGAACTTGCCGGTTGTGGGCTTGAGCGCTGTCGTGGTGCAGCTGCGGGCAGCCGCATCAAGGCGCGGCGCCAAGCCTGCCGTCCACTCTGCCGCCAGGTCCTCCCACCGCTGGCCGTCCTGCGGCACTCTGCCGCTCCGCGCGGCCAGCAGCTCCCAAAGGTATGCATACGTCTCCTCGCAGTGCGGTGGGGGGAAGGCCAACGCCACAGCCGGGGCGCGGCGGACGATGGAGTGGCTGCGTGTGGCGCTGCTGGACCGGGCGCCAGGCGGCGATGCTGCCGTCGCCGTACGCACCGTGCGCCGCTGACGCTGGGGGCTGCGCGCCTCGCTTGCATCCTCGTCGCTGCTGCCAGCAATTTCACTCCAGCGCCGCCGGTGCTGCGGCGTGCGGCGTGGCCTGGCACCTGCCTGTTCGGCGCCGTCGACAGGTGGCCCCAAGCCCTCTGCAGCACGCGCGGCCTGCAGGGAGAGGAGGGGACGGCGGGGCGGCGCGCTCAAGAGCGTGGGCGCCCATGCATTCACTGCTGAGGAGAGGGTGCTGCGCCGGCAGGCCCCTGCTGCAGCGCCGCCAGCCCCCCGTTGCTGCGCCCCCAGCAGCCCCCCTCCCTCCTGACCCCCGCACCCGGCTCTGCTCCTCGGCTGGCGCTTCCGCATCAGCAGGCCGCCCCGAGCCCTCCGCAGCACGCGCGGCCTGCAGGGAGAGGAGGGGACGGCGGGGCGGCGCGCTCAAGAGCGTGGGCGCCCATGCATTCACTGCTGAGCAGAGGGTGCTGCGCCGGCAGGCCCCTGCTGCAGCGCCGCCAGGCCCCCACCCTGGCCCCCGCACCGGGCTCTCCTCCTCAACTGCGTACAGTTCCCAGTCGGCCGCCACAGCCCGCGCAGCCTGCAGGGGAGGAAGGGCAAAGGGGCATCGCTGGCTGAGCGGGAGCGCTCAACTTGAGGGTGGCCGACAGGCGGCAGATGCGCAGCGTCACGTACCGTGCCCGCCACCTCCTCTACCAAGTCGTCGGCCTCCATCCAGCTCTCCAGCTCCGCGCTCTCCTCGGCCCTTGGCGTCGCCGGCTGCAGCTGCGCCAGGAGCGCCTCGAGCTCAGCTGCCCGAAACATCGCCTGCAGTGCGCCGCCCGGGTCGTTGAGCTTGGACTTGGTAGTAGCCTGCTCGAGGCTCGCCTTGAGCCGCCGCTGCGTGCGCGCAATGGCGTCGGCAGTGCTCCCGCTGCCACGCGCCGCCGCTGCCGCCGCATCGCTCGGCAGCTCCCCTGCCAGCGCAGCCAGCGAGCGCGGCACCAACAGGCAGCCGATGAAGTCGGCTGCAGTGAGGGGGGGCTTGGGCTCGCTGATGCCGGGGAACGGCAGGCTGCCCTCGGGGCAGCCCGCCGCACGCGCAGCTTGGCGCGCATCGTACAACAGGTGATGGTCGCCGCAGGGGTACGGCTTGAACTTGTCTGGGCGCGTGCGGGGGCGCGCCTCGACGGTGTACCTGGGGCCAGGGGACAAGGGGCAGGGGGTATGGTAGGCTGAGGATCAGGGGGGCACATGCGAGATGCATTGACAGCAGGGCGGGGCGGGAGGGCGGCGCATGTGGGATGCGTCCAGCAGGGCAGGCCCCCCTCCCCCAATGCCGCCCCTCAGCGCGCCTGAACTGAAAGTTGAGGATGGCGGCGTCCGCGTTCTTGGGCCCCATCTTGGTACCGGGCACAGCAGCCCGCATGTAGCGGTTCAAGCACTCCAGCTGGCTGGAACTGCGGATGGTGCGCGGTTTGCCGTTGGCGTCCTCATAGTACATGTCCTGGGTGGGGAGCGGGTCTGCAGGAGTGCAGGGGCTGCAACCATTGGGTGGGTGACGTGGCGGCGGTTGCATAGGGCAGCTCCTCAACCACAAGTCATGCCGCTGCCAAGCTCACGCACCCTCCAAGAAGCCTACTGCGATGAGTGCCTCGCTGCTGGTGATGAGCTTAAGCACGGC